AAATATTGCTTTTACTCCTAATCAACTTATAATGACTACGACCCTCAAGATGGGTGAAGTTAACGATAACAAGAAGAATACACTGATTTGACAAAGACTCTAACCAAATGTCATTGAAGACACAACCAGCCCCATCTATCTATGGGGCTCAAGCGCTGTGAGGCGATCGTGGCTCAAGAGTTGGCAGTTTGTCTTGTAATTGGAAGGTTGCCGGTTCGACCCCCTGCTCTCTCTGTCCTGGTCGTTGACTAAGTAAACCGCTATTCAAATACAGGCCATTTACCATCTATCTGTGCATAGACTGGCATTAGGAGCCCAACAAGATTAAATTTTCACTGCTTAAATGTACAAAGACAGTGATGTGAAAACAAGTGTTTAATATTTCCTATGAACAGCACCTCGTTTTTCTGTTCAATTTTGCTGTGATGTGACTCTGGATCAACTTCAGAAGCAGGTCACTTATTAACTGTGACTAGGTCCTCCTCTGGTAAAATAAATACGTTTGCAAAAAAAAAAAGCAAATCCTTTCACAACCCGCATAAATCACAGGAATTAAATAACAAAAAAAATGTTAGCTGCACAACCTCAAGCAGTGTGAAACACAAAGTCCAGCAGCTGCGCTGAATTATTATTATTATTATTATTATTATTATGAAGTGCACAGACGGGTCAGGGGGTAACATTTAACTCTTTTTACCTCTCTCAGTGTGCGATCAACCTTGGGGACAGGCTCTTGTTGCAGGAGGAGCTCTGATTTGATTGGCCGTGGATTGGGTGAGGCCTGCAGGGATTGGATGGTGAAGGTGGAGTAGAGGCCGGACTTCATGTAGTCGTTTCTGGAGCTCTTCTGGGAGCTGCTGGGTGATGAGCGCTGGTGATCCACGCAGACAGACGCAAAGAAAGAAAAAAAGCAATCAGCCAATTATTCATAACACCCTGTAGGAAACAAAGGAAGTGTGGACGTACCTGGGGCAAGCCCTTTGTCGGACAAGTTGGTGCCACGCCCCCAAGGCTTTTTGATTGGTTGTTTGAGTCGCTGACGTCCCTCCTCTGGCCCTCCTCTATACTGCGTATCCCATCGGGGAGGGAGGGGTCAGGCTGACTTACAAACTTATAGACAAACTTCTGGCCGCTCACCTTCTTTATGATATTCTGAAAGAGGGGGAAAATGGTGAGCCTGCCGACCTGGAGGTAACGTAGTACTCGTTTTGCTGCGGTAACAGTAGTATTATCAGCAGTACCTTGTCGTAGTAGTATCTCAGTGCCCGGCTCAGTTTGTCGTAGTTCATGTTGTGCTTGTTCTTGCGGAGCCCCCACAGGCGGGCCACCTCCTCGGCGTCTAGCAGCTTGAACTCGCCGTCCTCACTTGTCCAGGAGATCAGGTGACGCTGCCGCTGGTCCTCCAACAGATGAAGCAGGAACTGCCACAGCGTGATGGACGGGTCCATCGCTGAGGACACGGACAGACAGTTGAGGATTGTTTCAAAAATAAAGACCATGATTATTATAGTCATTTATGGCCAGCTGAATAACCACTTAAATCCAGCTATTAGTTATACTTTGGAAGAAAGGAGTTCTTTCACTGGCTGGCAGGAATAAATATTTAAGATTTCAAAATATTCTAAAAACACTTCAGCAACTGTATTTGAAGGAGACATGTGAGGCAAAACTTTGCTTTACATCTACACTCCCGGGCATTCCCAGGCGCGCCACACGCAAGCCTACAAAAACAAACAAACAAAAAAATAAAAATAATAAAAAAGACGAGGAGCACAAGTGTCACCGTCTGCACGGCTGCTACGCAGTCTGCTGCCCCCCGAACACCTTGTTGGCTCCGTCTGCATCCCGAGTGGAGGATGCAACCCAGAAGGAAACGGCGATCAATCCTGGGAGATGTGCTTTACATTCAAAACCATCTGCTACACTGGCTTCAACTCGCTTACAGATTAGCCAGCATATCATACCGCTCCTTTCTGTGCCCAATTTTTCATCTGACAATTTTTGAAGAAGAATCATGTTTATTAAATCAATTACTTAAGACTGACTAAAATAATGGAGACTATGGTTTCCAGTCAGAAATCCAGCATAAAGCTCAGCGTAAAACTGCTGCAGGAAACCAAACAGGTCATCAGAGTAATGAATGACAGGTGAGAGCACAGGTGGGCCAGCTCACCTGAAACAAACGTCAGTTTACAGTATAAAATCACAACAGAAAAATAATCTGCCACAGTTTTACGAGAAATAATAAGTCATTTTAAAGCTGAAACTTGCTTAAAGCCTCGGAGTGTAATACTTTCTGACTGTCAGACACAATCACACAGTCAGGGGATTTAAGAGAATGAGTACTCTCCAGCAGAAGCCAGAGAGAGACTCCTCTGAGAAGGTCAACATTAAACAGATTACACAGAGGGAGATGCCTGTCAGCCATGGAAATGAACCTCATTACCATTGGCTGACCTGGTACACAACTAACCTATCGAACACCTTGGAAACCATCGCCATGGTGAGACCTTTCATCAATGGTAACCAAGGGCGAGGAGAGAAAAACAGAGCAATGAGGAGGGTTCACTGCTGACATCAGCTCACAGGCACTCAGTACAGCCACTGTGGTGTCAGCATGAATCTGACACACGGAGGACCAGGGACTCGTAGGAGGATGTGAAGCCCTTATTAATGTTAATGATAACGCTGAAGATTATTATTGGTTTTTAGCAGTATTTACAGTTTGTTTACAGTTATTTGTTGTTGGCAGCAATAAAAAGCTGACCTCTATAGTGGGATGGTCACCGCTGTGAGAGAGGGATGTGATGTGGTCAGAGTGCGATAATATACATGTCCACATTTTGAAAGCAGGCGCAGTAGCTCATCTGGCCATCTTGATTCACAGGTTATTACGTGAAGTGACAAATGTGACCTTCAGCACAATCACAGGATTCACAGAATCACCAATCAGCACACAGCGTGACCTGACCCTGGACGGGATAACCCACCCAAATATATTAAATATATTAAATTTGCAATTTTTTTCTTGGATGTGTATTTTTTTTTTTTATGCATCCAAGGGGACGCCACCATCCATGTTCAGCTTATCACTAGCTAATCCCCTCGCTCTTATTTTGAAAGTCCAGTTACTGCTAACTAGCTCTGACTCCTCTAGACTGGGCTCCGTCTTCCCGAGCTTGCTGCGGTGCGTCACTGTGGAGCTGCACTCCAGTCCCAGAGTAAAGACTCTGCATTATGGTCCAATTTATTCTATACTGGACTATTAAAATATTTAAAGAGCAGAACCTTTAAATGAATATTTATCTAAATAAATAATTCAAGCAAATGTACATGAAACTTATTTCACCGTGCAAGTTAAAGACACTGATCCAACTTTTCCCAGTACTGAGCCAAGACCCATGATAAAATGAATGATCTGTATCAATTACTATGAGGAGGCGGCTGGGATTCATTCTTTACACATACGGAAACATGTGGCTCCACTTAAACACAGATTTCCTAACTTTGTACAATAAAATGTGACAAACAAATGCATGAAAACTGAAAAGCATCCAAATGATCATAAGCTGTAAGCTTCTTCCATACTATGTGAGCCCTCCCTCCCAGCAACCCACAAACCACTGCTGGCATGCCACATAGTAAACAAAGAAGAACTGGATAAACCAGATAATCGAGTTTGGGAGCGAGCATCAGATCCAAATCAGACACCGTTCCAGACTGTTACTGTTCGCTAGTGCAAGTGCACATAATTAGGCACAGTCAAACTCAATAAATCAGAACAAAAAGAATGTAAGTGAATGTGAAGAACTGCAGAGACGTCAACAGAAACAAGTTTTAACTAGCAGAGCAGAACGATTTACTTTTTCTTTGAGAGGTTAAAAAAGGAAAAGCCTTTGCTCTTCAAACATCGCTATAGCTGCAGACAAAAGGGAAATAAAAGCACCACAAAAGCAGTACCTGGGTAAATACACTTTATTATCTTCCACCACTGCTGCTCAGTAATGATAGAGCAGAGGCTTCAGCAGAATTCTTGGTGTGCTGTTTACCTTGTGCAGGAACAGCAGAGCAAAACCGTGAACCTGATCTCTGCAGGAAAATTCACACAAACACATGACGACGATTACGCCAGATACAAGGGCGCTGCGCGAATTAATGAATGCAGCAGCTAATCTCTGCGCGCAGGTTTCAGCGTGGCACAGAGACGAGTCAGATTGCCCTCACACTGTGAGCTGACCATAACAACCACCGCCGCAGACGGTGGGAATCCCATTAGAAATTCTGGTTTCTGAAAAAGAAACTGCATCTGATGAGTTAAAAAATAACAGCCGGAGCCGAGCGACTCGTGCACCTCTCTGCTGACAGTGCAGTGCATTTATTTAACCTTTATAAAAGCTTCTTCCTCCCCCCAGCTGCCTGATCTTCTGTTCCATCAATCCCTGTAAATAAATAATGTGAATGCTGTTTAAGCATTTCACATAACTGAGATCCTCCTGCACTTTTTTGGCACTTAACTACTTCTGTATACTTTGTGCTACAGAAACCGTTCTTTTTATGAGTTTTATTTGCTGGTTTGAATGAAATGGAAAAATCTTCTAATCCTCTTTAAACCCACCCTACTTTGAAACGTAACTAGTTCCGCATACTTTGAGCTAGAGAAAAAACTTTAAAC